ATTTTTGATCATTAGGACAAGAAGAGTTCTACAGTACCCATCCTCATTTCATGACCCAGAGGGCTTTATATCTTGCTGTTTATGATCTCAGCAAAGGACAAGCAGAGGTGGATGCTATGAAGCCATGGCTTTTTAACATCAAGGTAAGACAGAATTTCCCTTTCCAGGAAGCTGTAGGTGAACAGCAAATTAGCCATAAATATTTATATAGGGGAAGAAGGGAAAAAAAAAATTCAGAAAGTAAGAATAGTAATATTAAACAAGAGCTGAAATACATCATGTATTGGATATGAAAGTAGTTTTAGACATAAAAAGACATGATCAGCACAGTTTTGGATTTAAAATTATACAAAGTGATGTGCAAAAGAATAGTTTGTATATTCTGGCAATATTTTGAATTTACTGATAAAAATAAGAATGGAATTGTATTAAAAAATAATGAGTTAAACTTGCATTTTTCTTTTACACCAGTAAAAATGTTGGGGAAGTCAGAATTAGACTAATTTAAAACTGACTAGATAGAGGTTTGAAATCATGCTATTAAGTGTATGCTTAGTATCATATTATTAATAGGAATTATTCCAGAACTATGGTAGGGAATTGAACTGAGAATCTGCCTGTATATTTTTCAATTTTTCTAGTGTTTATTTCCATTTGTAGAGCCATTCCATGTTGAGTGAGCATTACTTGTCTTTTCTTTGTCTGGGATGCTTAGCCATGACTGGGCAATACACTCACATAAAGAGTTTGTTTACTGATCCTGTTGATGAACTTGTCTTTTTCACTCTTTTCACCATGGGCAGTGATACAGACACAGCATTACAGTCAGAATAATGTTGATGAAAATCACTTCTGATGCGTTCTTTGCTATGCAGTACTTGCTGATGTTTCACTACTGCCTTGTTCCAATGACAGCTAGCAAAGTACCATTTCTTTTGGCTTTTCCATTTTTTTGGATGGTCTTAGTAAATAATGTCCCTCTGTTTTACTGCCAATAGTGTTAATCTGCAAAGAATGAAATACAGATGTACACTCCTTCCATTTAGAAAAAGCTGATTTTTTAATATTTCTGTTTTGAAATAGACAGCTCTCTGAATGCTTCACTAAACTGATCACATTTTATATGAATATAAAACAATAAAATCAACATAACTATTTCGTTAATCAATAGTATGGATCTCACTGACAGGCTCGAGCATCAACATCCCCTGTCATCCTTGTTGGCACTCATTTGGATGTTTCTGATGAAATACAACGTAAGGCCTGCATGAGTAAAATTACTAGAGAGCTGTTGAACAAGCGAGGCTTCCCAGCAATCCAGGATTACCACTTTGTCAATGCTACGGAGGAATCTGATTCCATTATCAGACTTCGGAAAATCATCATAAAGGAGAGTCTTCACTTCAAGGTAGGCTACATGCTGTTTTTAATGTTGAAAACATTAAAAAACTTTTTTTAAGTGAATGCATTTTTAAACATTAATGCATAGTTAAATTAATTTTATGTGTGATAGTAAAGTCTTATTACCTTATATAAAATGTTACACACAGCAGAATAATGAATGAAAATTGCCAGGCTTGTTTTAATTTTATTTTCTTACCAAAAAATCAACTTATTAAAAAACCTAGCTAAGTTCTGTTTTCAAACACTAGGGCCATAAATCAAGTATTTAATTAAAAATGAGCCTCTTTGTCTTACAAAGAAATTTAATTAAAACCTTGGTTTCTTGGGCAACATCATGTAATTACAGTAAGTATTGCAAAATTTCAGGGGACAGGAAATAAGATATTGTAGTTTGGGAAATAAGATATTGGTTGGGAAAACCAATCAGTTTTCCATTTACTGATTTCATTTTACATAACATGAAACTATTTCTATAAACAGGAAAGTGAATTAAACTAGGAAAAGAAGATCCTGTGGGGGCTGAGTGATCCTCCTAGATTGGAGTATCTGCACTTGTAATTCTGTTGTCTCCAAGGTCATCCCAACTCATTTTCTGCTCTAGCCTTAGCCACAGCATAAAGCCCTTAGTGTGAGTGAAGAGGTCAGCCCAGGCATGGAGCTTATAGAAAGACAGAATCTCATCTGTGACAAAAGGATATTCTTTTTTTTTTTTTATTTATTTATGCAACACATTTTTCATTTATGTCCTTACACATTAAAGAGAAAAGGTGACGTCCTGTGCTACTTAAAT